CAGTTATCAGCCATGTGAAATGTCAAGTGTATATGAAATTAAACTGCCCTGTGTTCTTTTGAAGAGGTCATGACATAATTTCCTGAAGGTCAGTGCCATTTCACTATGAACATTTCCCTCAAGAAAACCATAAATGTGTTTCTCTGCTAAATTATTTCTGTCAGTCTAGTGGGTTGCTCCTTCTAATACACACACACACACACACACAGGTTTGTTTTTATGGTTTATGTGGACTCTCCATAGGCGTAATGGTTTTTATACTGTACAGACCGTATATTCTATTGTCCTACACCAACCCTACCCCTAAACCTACCCCTCACAGGAGACTTTCTGCATTTTCTGCACGATTGATCAGTGAGCGCTTTTCTGTCTCAGTGACGTGAGCAGGAAGATTTGAGCTGGGAGTTTGAATGGATTCCTCAGCATTTCTTCTCCATTATAAAGTGGAAATGTCATTTCACAGCCGCTGCCCCAAACGGGAATCGAGGCGCGTTTCTGAGAACATCCAGAGCACTAAATGAGCACTTGTTCAGTGTCAGCTCTCCAATAAAACACACAAAAGCCTTGAAGTGAAAATCATAAGAAAACAGGTCAAAATGAAGTGAATAAATGAATTTGACCCATTTACACCTGTGACATTTGGACCTCAATAGTCTATGGGTTTCTAGGAAGGTCATATTGCTCACACACACACACACACACACACACACACACACACACACACACCCACACACACTCTCACTCACACACAAGACTGAAACACAAGGGCTTTTGCTCGAATACGTCACGTCACTCGTTTATCTTTGACACATGAGCCAGTGATGGGAATCGACTGTCAGTGAATGATCTTTACAGCAGACGTCAATGAAGACATACAAACATACTGATGATGGAAAAATTATGAGAAAAAATTACACAACAAAATATTAAGAATGCACTGTACACTGAAAAACAACATTGATGTAGAAACAAATTTTCTCAGAAATTGCTGGTAAATTTCACAAACAATTACAATAAAAAGGCAAGTAACACATTGGATTAAATGTGAAATTTTGGAGTATAAAAATTCTAAACAGCATTTTTTTTGGTAAAACACACTCCAATAATCTTTCTATACACATAAAATATCAAAAATATATACAAATATAATATATAATATCAAAAATGACCGTATAAGCGTCAGCATGAGTTTGGAGTCTGAGCATCAAACATGAAGACAGAGTTGAGAGTGTAAAACGCTGGATCTGTTCTTGCTCTAGGATGAATGAGGCTGTAAGGCTGTGTTTTAATTAACCTCCGCGTCTGAGCGGTCAGAGCACACTATCCTCACATATAAATCACTAACGGCAATCCCAGTCTGCCTCTTTATTAGAGCGGACGCCATATATTCAGCTGACAGACCACATGCCACTGCTGACATCATAAAGAAGCAAACGCATTCATTCTCTCACACGGTCTTCTGCCCAAAAAATTAGCATGCAACAGTGTTTACAGAACATTAATGTCATAATGACTGTGATTTTTTGACTGACGTGTGACGGTATTGTACACAGTTATCAGCCATGTGAAATGTCAAGTGTATATGAAATTAAACTGCCCTGTGTTCTTTTGAAGAGGTCATGACATAATTTCCTGAAGGTCAGTGCCATTTCACTATGAACATTTCCCTCAAGAAAACCATAAATGTGTTTCTCTGCTAAATTATTTCTGTCAGTCTAGTGGGTTGCTCCTTCTAATATACACACACACACACACACAGGTTTGTTTTTATGGTTTATGTGGACTCTCCATAGGCGTAATGGTTTTTATACTGTACAGACCGTATATTCTATTGTCCTACACCAACCCTACCCCTAAACCTACCCCTCACAGGAGACTTTCTGCATTTTCTGCATGATTGATCAGTGAGCGCTTTTCTGTCTCAGTGACGTGAGCAGGAAGATTTGAGCTGGGAGTTTGAATGGATTCCTCAGCATTTCTTCTCCATTATAAAGTGGAAATGTCATTTCACAGCCGCTGCCCCAAACGGGAATCGAGGCGCGTTTCTGAGAACATCCAGAGCACTAAATGAGCACTTGTTCAGTGTCAGCTCTCCAATAAAACACACAAAAGCCTTGAAGTGAAAATCATAAGAAAACAGGTCAAAATGAAGTGAATAAATGAATTTGACCCATTTACACCTGTGACATTTGGACCTCAATAGTCTATGGGTTTCTAGGAAGGTCATATTGCTCACACACACACACACACACACACACACACACACACACACACACACACACACACACACACGCACACACACACACAGACTCACAAAAGGAGATGTTTAGCCGAAAGTTCAAGTTGCTTGTCCCATGAAATGAAAGCAGACGAAAGGGACTAAAAACTTGCACACTTAAACACGTGGTTTTCTCTGATTTCTGTTGCATATTCTGCTGATTTATCATCAATATGATGTTATCTAGCTGGCTATAATAAGGTTTGGTCAGAACTGCAATAAATAAATAAATACAAATAAAAAAGATAGTTTTGAAAGCATTGGTAAAAATGTGTTAAAAGCTTCAAATCAATGAGTGATTTTTGCACTGTGTTGTTTATGAGTTACATTATAGTTTTACTATTTCCAGCTTAAGAAAAAATCATTTAAAAACGTTTCATTAATTTAAAGTTAATATTTCTAGGAAATGGAAAAATAAAGAGAAATAGATTTTTTTTATCGTTCAGGAGTGTCAAAGTATGACTTTTAAAAAATAAATTAATTAATACTTTTTTTCATCAAACATTATGCTAAAAAGGATTTCTATTATAAATAAATGCTGTCCTTTTGAACTTTAAAAAAATGTATCACCGTTTCCACAAAAATATTAAGCTCCAAAAACAGTTTTCAACATTGATAATAAGAACGTTTCTTCAGATGCAAATCAGCATATTAAATTGATATATATATATTTATACGCATTTTCACGAGTCTGGGCTCCAAAAATCATACTGACCCCAAACATTTGAAAAGTAGTGCATATAAATATAAATCTTTATTTTATTTAACATAATATGATATATGCATTTTAATGCTGCATGGTGCTCTCTCTGTCATCCAGACCAAACACTGCACCCCTGTTTTCCATCTGCTCATCAGTCTGATTCCAGCATGGATCCGTGCTGTGTTTCAGGCCACTAATGCATCCTCGATCTGTTGGAAAAGCCCGGATCTGGGAGTCATAGCATGAGTCAGTTCAGGAAAATGCCATTTCAATCAAGCCACACGCGCAGGAGGAGGTGCTAGGATCCTCTGATAGCAGAAAGCGGCAGTGATTTAGTGTAAAGCTCTTCAGACACAGGGGTGATGCCAAACACACTCACTCGCCATTTAAAGTCAGTGTAAGAGGCTCTGCATGGAAACACAACAGATGAATGCACCTCTTTGAGAATCAACGCTCTGCAGTAGACAGGATGGGGCATGTTGTCACACGAGCAGAGAAGCTGGTTTTGTATGTTGGTTTCAAACAGTTAGTTCCAAACCATCCTAAACTTAATGCAATTTATTTTGGTCAAAACAATGATATATATTTGTATGTTATCTTTTATTATTTCTTGAAACCTCTTACATATAGTGCTTTTTAAAAAAAATTATTGTAGAGTTCTTTCTATTGTACAACAAAACAACAACATGCGCAATACCGCATAATCTCTGTGTAGTAGAAGCTTCTGTCGACAGAGACTAATGAAAGCTCTGAAAGCCTATACAATTGTATTTAATGGCAGGTTCACATTGTGACAACATGCCCCACTATTATGTTCTATAATACAGCATAATGTCTATAAAGAATCTGACTTTCAAAAATAAACCTACCATGAGAAATATTCACTTTAGTGTATTACTGTAATTTATTTTGATCAAAACAATAGTTTTTAATAGATATTATTATTATATATAACTAAAATTCCAATGTTTTTTTTTTTTCAAAAAATGTTTTCCAATGTTTTTTCTTTGTTTTAATTCATTAATTAATTCTTTACTCATAATTTCTGTTTTTATGAGACACGTTGAATACACTACTACCAAAATAAAGTACTCGAAATAAAGCATCAAAATTACATTTTAATTCTAATATATTTCTTAGGATTAAATATATTAAATCATTAATTAAACAATGATATTAAATAATATAATATTAATATCATTAAACAATGATGCCAGATATTATTGACAAAACTTTGACTACTACACATTTATCATATTATGTAATTATCTTAAACAGTAATAATTATATGATTATTACATCTGTGTTAATGATTAATAAACATTGGAATTGATCACTGTAAATATGTTTTTTTCTCTGTAGCAACAATTATCTCCATTATTGTTTGATTTTTCTTAGTTATAATTTATTTAAAAATATAATCCTTATGATTAAATACATATAGGCTATGCACTTAAATAAACACAGATGCCAAATATTATTGACAAAACTTGGCATATTACATAATTTATATATAATAATTTCACAGAATTATCATAAACTGAAATTATTAGGCTCTATGATTATGGTTAATGGACATGGAACATATTTGTCTTTTTCTTTGCATTAATATGCTACAAAATTGTTCTTTTTAAATCAGCGTGATACATGAGTTAGGTCAAAAGTACTCTAAACGTAGTGACCTAAACGGTGTAATGTAACGGATTACGTTACTAATACGGCTTTTGTCATGTAACAGTAAACACGTCTAGGTCTGACCAGCAGCCACAGAACCGGAATGTTTAATAACTATCGTATATATTACGCTAAGCATTTATCTCTTAAGTACTTCGTGTGTGCTTGGCTTTATCTTGTACTGAATTAGTGGTCACACTTTATAGCATATAACTTGTTTCTGTGGATCTTTCGAAGAGTTTTCGGATGCAGGCTGTAAAAGGGAGTTTTGAAGACGTTTATTATTTATAAAACTAAATAGTTTGCTTTAACTCCCTCTGTTATATGCAAGGTCTAGGTCTGACCAGCAGCCACAGAACCGGAATGTTTAATAACTATCGTATATATTACGCTAAGCATTTATCTCTTAAGTACTTCGTGTGTGCTTGGCTTTATCTTGTACTGAATTAGTGGTCACACTTTATAGCATATAACTTGTTTCTGTGGATCTTTCGAAGAGTTTTCGGATGCAGGCTGTAAAAGGGAGTTTTGAAGACGTTTATTATTTATAAAACTAAATAGTTTGCTTTAACTCCCTCTGTTATATGCATTGCTTGTAAATATTTACAGGGAGAATATTCTTAGTTTTTGTTGTTTTCCAGCACATCTTTGATTTTACATCTGTAAGTAGTTCTCCGTTAAAGTAAGTGACCTGGTTGACAAGCAGTATATATCTGGACTATTATGGATTATTTGGCCACGAGGCTGGATGTAGAGGATGAATAACAGCGGTCCGAGAACTGAGCCCTGGGGAACACCGTCTGAGCAACAGCGGCAGTAACAGCCATGCAGTGTTTCAGGAGAAAAGTAGGTGCTCGGCTTGAAGAGGAATTGGTCTTCTGTATTAAATCAGCAATTAGAGGTGGATTTGTTCGGTACAGGCAGTCGATGATAGACCGAGGTCGCTCACGATCAGAAATAGTCCCAGATAAAGCCTCTAACGCTCCCTGAAAGCGGTGCAACACACCTTCAGATTCCCGCTGGCTGATGCTATGATTCGGAGCCTGGGTTGGTTTGTTTAGCATGCTACATAGTGCTTTGGGAATATTTTTAGCTTTGTTAACGATGCTGGAGATATAAGAAGAGCGGGCTGCACTCAAGGCAGTTTTGTGGCTCTTGATGTAATCAGAATAAACAGTTAAACCCGTTTTCCTAAAAAGACGTTCAAGTTGTCTGCTTTCTGCTCCGCGCCTCACTTCCGGTTCTGAAAGCGCTGGTGCTGCTGGATGAGATGTCGCGGCCGCGGTGCATGCTGGGACTGTGGGTCCTCCAGGCGCGCCTCCATCTTTAAACCCCAGAGAAGAAGCGCTTCCGCTCCGGACTCGCACCGGATCTGCGCCCACATCCACAGCTCTGACACACGGGCTCCGGAGCTGCGGTAAACCGACACCGAGCGCCGGGGACACGCACCGCTCCTTCTCTTCTCTCGGAGATGAGCAGAGGAAGATGTCGGTCTCGGGACTGAAGGCCGAGCTGAAGTTCCTGGAGTCCATCTTCGACCCGAACCACGAGCGCTTCAGGATCCTCGACTGGAAACCGGACGAGCTGAGCTGCCAGTTTAACGTTACCGGAGACCAGCTGCTGATCATCCACTGCAACCTCACGGTAAGACGGCTTGGCTCGGTCCCGCGCTGCGCTTGTGTTTCACGGTTTGTTTTCGTTTTTTCCGGACGCCATTTTCTTCTGTTGCGTGAGAGCGACGCTGACGTCACATCACAGATGCGTATTTGACTCGTTTATTGAGTACAACTAATACATAACTGCCAACTATAATTGGGTAAATATTATTTTTATTCTGTTAAATCATTTTTATGATTTTTTTAAAATTAGCTGCTTTATTTAATGTAATAATTTAGTATTTTTTTAGCAGTTTCCAGCTCGCATCTCTTTCTAACAGCTGGCTTAATGCACGCAGTCAAATTTAACAACAAATATTATACAATGCTTAAAGGAATAGTTCACCAAGAAATTAAAATTAGCTGAAAATGTGCTCACTCTGAGATCAGGATGAGTTTGTGTCTTCATCAGGTTTGTAGAAATGTAGCATTGCATCAGTGTCTCAGCAACGGATGCTCTGCAGTGAATGGGTGCCGTCAGAATGAGAGCTGATAAAAACATCACAGTAATCCACAGCACTCCAGTCCAGCAGTTAAAGGGTTGCTCCACCCCGAAATGAAAATGTTGTCATTAATCGCTTACCCCCGTGTCGTTCCAAACCTCTCCGCGTCACCGTAGCGCCGTTTGGAGAGTAACCGCTGAATGCAAGCAGCGTACGCTCTTGTGTCAGCCGCGCTGCACAGATGCGCTGTTTTCATTCAAATCAAAGCGTAAATACACGTAGAAACCGTATCTTGTGTCGCGGCTGACACTGAAGAGCGTACGCTGCTTGCGTTCAGCGGATATTCTCCAAAATGGCGCTACGGTGATGCGGAGAGACACAGAGGAGACGAATTGTTGAGTAAAGTCGTTATTTTTGTTTTCTTCGCGTACAAAAGTATTCTGGTCGCTTCATAGCGTTGCGGTTGAACCACTGATGATTCTGACGATGCCTTTCATACTTTTCTGGAGCTTGACGGTGTAAGTTACTTGGCAGTCAATGGGACCGTCACAAGCCTCCCGGTTTTCATCCAAAATATCATCTGACGGCACCCATTCACTGCACAGGATCTGTAGGTGAGCAAGTGATGCAATGCTACATTTCTCACAATCTTCAGCAAATATTAACTTTTGGGTGAACTATTCCCTTAATGGTGCAGATTTAAAAAAAAAATTATATTTGCATTATAATTGAACAGGTGTAAGTGTGAAACCACTGGTACTGCTGGGACAAATAAGTGCCAGCTATAAACACGATTGGTTAGTGTACATTCAAATTAAACCATGTTTTGAAACATGTATATGTCTTTTAATGTACATGAATAACTAATGGGCTAAAAATTTGAAAGTTTCTGTAAGACAAAGTTTTTTAAGCACCTGCATACAAATAAGCAACGCTGTCTAGGGATTTTTTTTAGACCTAAAATATGTCCGATGAGTTTGTATAGATCTGATTATGTCAATATGAGCGTGCATTAAGATGACACATTTCCAGTGCATGCGTGTTTTGTGGAAGTTCCTGCTTTGCAGGTGTTTTTTGACCCGGTTAAAGATGGGGATGTTGTAATTACGTCACTGCCAGTGAAACGTTTGACGCACCTATTCCTCTGTTAGTACTGTTGTGCAATTTACCGGAATGGGAAACTGTAAAATAAAAGAAATGTGAGATGTTGTGTCCTCACAAGTCTGAATTTGTTTTGGTTTTGTAAATAAGTCCAGAATGATTTGTCTACAAACCTAAGATCTTGAGAACAACTGATCCAGTCCATCGTGCACTTCACAGTTTTACATGATCGCTTATGGGTAATGAAGTCTCGTCTAGCTGAAATCTTGCCAGTTACCTGCCGACTGCTCTTTCAGGAGTCTTACCCGTCGACGCCGCCGATATGGTGCGTGGAGTCCGATGACCCGAGCCTGACGCAAGTGCTGGAGCGGCTGGAGGACGTCAGGAGGAGCAGCACACTGGTAAGCACACTTAATAAATTATATCAGATTGAGATTGTTTATGGACAGTTTTACTCGATATTAGGGGTGTAACGGTACACGTATCCTTCGGTTGAGTGCACATGTGTACCGAACAAATACAGTGATATTTTTTCACAATGCGATACGTGCAAAATAGAAGTTGAGAAAAAGCAAGAACTCCAACAGTCATAAATGTTAGTATTGTTGTAATTTTACTGTTGTTCTGTAAAATAAAATAAAAAGACAATAATAATGATAATAATCATTACAACAGCTCTGTTAATACATTTATTATAACATACACGCATAGTGTTCAAATTGGGATCTGTAATATTTTCTAATGTTTTAAAAGAAGTCTCTTCTGCTCAGCAAGGCTGCTTTTATTTGTACAGTAAAAATACATGCCTGGTTCAAGAAGGGGGTCTGACGGCCAAACAATATTATTTTACTAACTTATTAATTTTAAGTTAAATTGTGCTTTGTTGGTACAAAATGCTAGAATGTTAAAAAATGTTCAGTGTTAAATATTTTTAAATTGTTGTTTTGTAACTGATTTTTTCTGTGTAAAGCGAGACAAAACAGTAAAAAGAACATTTTGTCTATTTAATTTATGGAATGGTGAAAAAATTGGCAAAATACATGGGTTGTTTATGGACAGTTTTACTCGATATTAGGGGTGTAACGGTACACGTATCCTTCGGTTGAGTGCACATGTGTACCGAACAAATACAGTGATATTTTGACAATGCGATACGTGCAAAATAGAAGTTGAGAAAAAGCAAGAACTCCAACATTCATAAATGTTAGTATTGTTGTAATTTTACTGTTGTTCTGTAAAATAAAATAAAAAGACAATAATAATGATAATAATCATTACAACAGCTCTGTTAATACATTTATTATAACATACACGCATAGTGTTCAAATTGGGATCTGTAATATTTTCTAATGTTTTAAAAGAAGTCTCTTCTGCTCAGCAAGGCTGCTTTTATTTGTACAGTAAAAATACATGCCTGGTTCAAGAAGGGGGTCTGACGGCCAAACAATATTATTTTACTAACTTATTAATTTTAAGTTAAATTGTGCTTTGTTGGTACAAAATGCTAGAATGTTAAAAAATGTTCAGTGTTAAATATTTTTAAATTGTTGTTTTGTAACTGATTTTTTCTGTGTAAAGCGAGACAAAACAGTAAAAAGAACATTTTGTCTATTTAATTTATGGAATGGTGAAAAAATTGGCAAAATACATGGGGGAAAAAACCTCGAAAAACAGTGTTCGGTTTTGGCTTTGGCCGAGAATTTTCATTTCGGTGCATCCCTAGTTTTAACCACCGCACGAGTGGAGCTTCATTAGAAACTTCCAGTTTTATACATTACTTTTGATAAGAAGTCAAAAGTTCGGCTCATCTTTCAAATTATGTCCTTTTTTTCAGGAAATTCAAACAATAAATGTGGTTTTGACGCTTTGATGTGTCGTGGCTGATCTCTGTATAAACGCCTCGGCGCGATCATCTTTAATACTAGTTTAAACGCGAAATAAACATGAATGAACATCTCACGCCTCGTGTAATCGCTCAATCAGTGTCCACAGCTCGTTAGTGCGCGATAAATGAAGTCTAGAGAAGAGCACACTGGTCTCTAAGGTCTCTGCACACTGTGTCCGAATTTTTCGTCCGAAATTTTCGCACGTTGAAAAATAAATACGACCTCACGTTGTGTCAATCACGTTTACACACTGCCTCCGAAACTTTCATCCGTCATAAAAAAATTCGGACCAGTTTCGATTTTCTGCGTTTTCGCATCCATAGCAAGCATTTTGATAGGAAAGGATGACGAATACGAAATTTCGGACTCTGTGTGCAAGGACCTTTAGTAATATCGTAAATATTTAATGTATGTTTAAATCTGTTATAAACCAGTTATGACAGCCACTGTGTAAATTGCAATAACAAACTGCATTATCTGCAATTTACATGTTTACTGTGTTTAAGTCGAGTATTAATTATTATATTTAAATATAAATAATAATTCAATTTAAGTTTGGGCTCTGCCTCTGTTGTTAATTGTAACCTTATAGTAATAGTTTAGCACATAATCCGAGGAAGATTTTTTTATCCCTAAGAAAATGTATTAAATTTATTTAAAGAAAGAGCAATTTGTTCAGTAAACCACTGTTTAGTAATAATTAAAAAAAAGCAATTTTATGTTTATTTTTTTCCCGTGTTATAATTTATACAGTTCTGTTGTGCAGCATCTTATTTGACAAATAAAACGGCAATGTTTCATCGCAGGTTAGTTACATTTTCATTTGATTACAATGTAAAAGATTATTAAAGTTGTCTTTATTAATTTCATTAGACACAATTTAATGATAAACTTTAGGGAATTTAGGGAAAAATGAACTGGATTTAATGCGGTTGTAAATTAAAAGGTAGCTACTCTTTAATTGTGAACGAACAAGATATATTTCCATTTATTCTCAAGGTCTAACAAACATGAAAGCATTTCCTTCCCCATTAATAGTAAATGAGTATCACGAGGAATAACTGTATCGTATCATATGGTAAAGATATTGCAGTAATATCGTCCAGCGCTTTCATTGCAGGATCCAGATCTTTCCTTACTTTAAGTCATATCTAACTTGTCTTCTCATTAGGAGGTTGTGTGTGACAGTAAATCAGGCAATTAGTAATCTCTTCCACATGTGTGTGATCTCAGTGATAGCCGTGTGCTGCAGAGCAGAGCAGGTGTTGTAATCATGATGCTTTGAACAGCAGTAAATAGTAATTACCAGCCTAGCTCCACTGTAATCGAGTCGAGCGTTACACAACAAACCAAATGGTGTAATATGAGTGTGCACTACTGAGTGAGCTCAGACTGATCACGTACACTTCAGAAGCTGGGCTTTTTTTAGCTAAAGCTTTGAATTTGATCTGCTCCTGTTGTGTTCTGAGCAAGACGCGCCTCACCTGCACTGACGACTTAAACAGGTTCATAAAAAGTGCATCATGTGCACAAAGTCCTGTTATTCTAACCTGACAAATGCGACCAGATCTTGACATGGAACTGTTCATAGCAAGTCAATCGGTATCAGAAATGAATTTTTCCATTGAGGGTCGATATTTGACCCACATGTTCAACTTCAGGGACAATTTCTGCCACGTTCTGTGCAATTCCTGCCCCAAACGAGCCTTTCTGACCTTGCTCTTCTGTGTTTGTGGATTCAGCTCTTGCAGCAGCTGAAGAGGCTGATCTGTGATCTGTGCCGCCTCTATAATCTCCCTCAGCACCCCGATGTGGAGATGCTGGACCAGCCTCTGCCTGCAGGACCTGTCAACCAGGACAGAAAGGTGAACCGCTGAGCTTGAGTCACGCTTGCTTTCTTTAATACTCATTCAGGCAAAAACCAAACACGCATATGGAATTTAGTCTTTCATATGAACGCTTGAAACTATTTCACATGCATGCAATTACAAGGACCGTATTTCTGGAAAGCAAGTCGTACTTGACTATAAGTTGCATCGGGTCAAAATTGCATAAAAAAAATAAACACGTGTAAGTCACATGTTATTATTACATTGACGTAGTATAAAATGAAACATTTGCCATCATAAAGACATGTATTTCAGTTTCTCGCACTCCAAAACAAACCCATTAAGTTTAACTGTTTTTAGAACAAAACGGGAATGAAAAATGTAAATATAACAAGCATAAACTAGAGTGACATTCATTATAAACAACAATTATTGAGAACGTCAAGCCTAAATGAGTTTATTTAAAGTAAAACTGAGACTAGCAGTGTGTGAAGCGCACTATACGAGGGCCAGAGGTGGAAACATCTTTGAAGAACAGTGTTTTTCCACTAATTTAGTATGCATGCAAATTGTTTAATATCCAAGGTACGCATACGCAGTTCATTCTCATATTGAATTTTCAGAACGTTTTGGAATATTTTTCCTCTCCCCAAATGTGCCGCTACCGAAACACAGTAATAATAATTTAATTGGAAGGGTTATGTTGACCTATTAAGATCTACATTGTAAATATATATTTTTGCTATTTTTATCCAAAAAAAATTCAGAAGTAAATCAATAATAATAACATTTTTATGTAATAATTACAGCGACCACATCACAATACAGAATTTTAACTCTCATACTACTAAACACTACTAAAACATACTAAATATTTGCATAATTGTACTAAAATATTTTTTATTTCCCCCATATAAAGGATTGTGTTCCCTTTTGTCATGATGACATGTTTCAATCGTGACAATTTTATGGGATAACAGCCAAAAAAACAACAAAGATGTCACCGAAACGCCATCAAATGTTTCGCTAGTGACAATTTTAGATACTTTTGAACCTATCTCAAAGATGCTAATCAGCACGTGGTTAGCTAGCACAGTTGTACACACACAAAAAATAAATGAAATGGAATAACTCCCAAAAAAAAGTGTGCTTAATTGCAGAAAAAAAGGTGTTTGGTAGTGACGTTCCTTACAGATTTTTAGACTTTTGAACACATTTATCTCAAAATGATGAGGCCTATCTGCTATCTACCTGTAGCTGAGAGAGAGAGAGACACATGAATATTTCCTGATCATAAATGTGTAGTTAATTTCAGTCTCAGCCAACGGACTAAAACATCTATTGTTTCGGTAGTGAGTGACATGAAAATGCGGAAAGTTTCATAATTTACAACTATTTCATTAAATATTTTTTTAAAACAACAATGGAATAAAATGATTTCAATATTTTCACAAGTTGAAATTTAGGGGTTAGGGTTCGGGACAGCCACCTCCCAATTGAAAGTACCCAATAAACAATGATTTTATATATATATTAAGCTTACTGATATTTTAAATATTATTGTGGGTTTCAATAGGATCTTGGTAAACATCTCAGATTTGAATACTGAAATGCTTTTTAAATGCATATTAAGAGAAGTTTGCACCAGTTCTGTAGAATGGCCCACGAGTGAATATGAATCTTTCTCATTCGGCACCAATCCAAATATGTGCACTTTATAACTGTTTTGCATGCTTAATGTTAAATGCATTATATAAGTCTCTCGCAGCACATTTCAGATGATTAAAAAAAGCTTAAATGACAGAATATGTGCTAGGTTTATATTTGGCCTGCAGATTCCAGTTGCCTTTTTGCTGCAGCCACTTAAACGCACACAAATAATGACGTACAGCCGACATGAACGCGGCACTTGCAGTGCAAGAGTTTACAGATAAAGTGAATATTCGGCATGAATTGATGTGGTGCAGGATCAGGATGTGAGGGTTTGATATGTGCATCCTTCACGTGAGCACAAAAGACAGATAGTTTCAGAAGATAACGTGTTTTGAAGTATGATTATGAAAATATATGTTATACAACACTGTAATTTTGAATAGCATGCAAACATATTAGGCTCCCCTGTGTTTCTGCTGTGGTTTAACAGGAATGTTTTCTCCCGTAGCTTGGGACGAAAGATGAGGTCACATCAGAGGAGGAGGAGGAAGAGGAGATGGCAGAGGTTCATGTCTGTTTCTCTCGTGCTATACGTGTCTTCTGTGAGCTCGTGAGCGTCTCTCTTTACATGTGTGTGTGCGTCTGTGTCTGTGTGTGTCGGCAGGACATCGATCTGGAGCACTACGAGATGAAAGAGGAGCCGGTGGATGGGAAGAAGTCTGAGGATGATGGGATCGAGAAGGAGAACCTGGCCGTCCTGGAGAAGATCCGCAAGAACCAGCGGCAGGACCACTTGAATGTAAGTGCTCACTCGGTAAGGGACTTTCCTTATGTTTCAAATATAGGCTTTTGTCTCACAGTCCTGATTAGATGCAAGCGGTTCGGTTTGATGTCAGAGTGAATGATGATGTTTATTTTGAAATTAAATTATTTATTTAAAGATAGTGATATATGGAGATGTTCCATGAAGATATTTAGTAAATCTCCTACCGTAAATATATCAAAACTTAATGTTTGATTAGTAATATGCATTGCTAAGAACTTCATTTGAACAACTTTAAAGATGATTTTCTCAATATTTAGATTTTTTTTGCACCCCCAAGATTCCAGATTTTCAAATATTGTCCGATCCTAACAAACCATACATCAATGCAAAGCTTATTTATTCAGCTTTCAGATGATGCATACATCTTAATTTTGAAAAATTGACCCTTAAGACTGGTTTTGTGCTTTAGGGTCACATATATCAAACATCTATTTTCTGTAAATAAGGTTGCAATGACATCTACATTTTAGAGACTAGCGAAAATTCACAATTCTCAACACCGCAGCAGAATACTAGGGTAACTCATATTAGTGTAAAACAACAAAAAAATAATTCCTCAAAAATAATTAAACGGTCAGTAGTAAAAATAAAAGTCTAAAGTATTCAGCTATTACAGAAATTGAATAATCGAATGGAAAAATAAAACGGCATAGTCTTCTTTGTAAGAATCGAACTTCCTTTGTTTCTCATTAAAGCTACAAAAGTCCTTCAGTCGAGAGCAGTGAGTGATTTTTGCTCCGTCTTTTGTGGTTTAATATTAATATTAAGCACACAGTCGCAGCAGGAATATTAGGCTGCTGTCACTTTAAGAGACGCACGGATCCCATTTACTGTTACACACGTATTTACATTCTCAACTGCTTGTGTTCACTTTATCTCAATCATTGTATTTTCATAATCGTTGATCGAAATCGAAACTGTATTTGGATTAATTGCACAGCTCTAAATGAAATGTTGATTGAAGTGTTCAGGCGTGCAAACTACTCGCCTTCTGGTGAACTTTGCTGTTTTGAATCTGAAATGTATAGAAATGTAAATGGCGCACACATTATTGCTTCTGTAAGACCTTGTTCACTCTAATCATGACTGCAGAGTTGTCAAAGATTAAGCCACTTCTGTCAAATGTGTCCTGTAACTGATTTTAAAGTTGATGATTTTCTTTTTCCTGAAAATGCTAGTTAATTGCTTTGGACTTAAACTTGCTGACTTTGCTCAGACGTGCTATAACAACTACCCAAAACATTTTGGGATCATTTTTTTTAACCTTTTTAGGTTTCCATTGACTGTTGTCACATATAGACTGTATATAAATAAAGCTTTTTAAATTGCGTATTTCATTCATTGAGACCCAATATGTGATTTAAGTGTTCCCTTAATTTTTGGAGAAGTGCATTTGCAGGCACAAATACATACGTGAACATGAACATGATCAACATGCTTCTGAACACTAAATATTTCTCAGTTTTCAAATCTCCCTCATTCATTTTCAATGGATGGTCATTTTTGACCAATAGAGCCAAGATGAATAAGGCCTACAATCAGTTGGTATCAAAATTAAATACAAAACCAGTCCTGATTCAAGGAAAACTAGTTGACAAAAAGATTGAATCCTTGTGGGAACAAAGTCAGTAAATCTTAGTCCAATGCGACTGACCCGAACACAACCTGAGGGGCATTTTAACTATTTAGTATTTTAATCTTGATTTCACTATATAAGCTAGCATGCATTAAATAACATTTGCCCATCAGCAGTAGGGTTGCAAAGGGGTGGAAAATTTCCAAAAATCCCTGGAATATTCAAAAAAAAATCCTGACGAGTTTCCAAAATTTCTGGAATATTTCAGAAATTTACTGGAAATTTTCCACCTTTTTGCAACCCTAATCAGCAGTTTGGAGATGTAATTCAATAATGACAATATCATAATCAATAGTGCTTTACATTCCCCTTGAGGTAATTTCACTGAATTTCAAGATGAACTTTTCTATGTTTTATTAATAAGAATAATTTGAAAAGGTCACGAAGCTTACATTATAAGTATCTCCCCAGACTTTCTCTCGGTTTGTCATTGATCTGAGCTGGAGTTGTGTGTATTGATTTGAGTTCACCTGTACGTTGTCTGTCTTATGTCTGACGGGGTGTGTTCTGTCGGGTCCTGTAGGGCGCTGTGTCTGGATCAGTCCAAGCGTCGGATCGCCTCATGAAGGAGCTCAGGGAGATCTACCGATCTCAGAGTTATAAAAACGGTAAAGTAGCGTGACTGTGAGCGACTGGAACGACCGGCGCGATGCTCTGATCTGATTTAGTCTCTTTTCCAGGCATCTACTCTGTGGAGCTGGTCAGCGACAGCCTGTACGAGTGGCACGTGAAGCTCAGGACGTGAGTCACCCTTCCTCTGGGCTTTACATTACTGCTTAAGTATTGCTGGGCGCTCAAACCATAATTATCATGGTATATTTGGCCCTCGATAGAATGATAACATGCGGCACACGCTTTCCATGCATTTACTGTAGTAACACTGAGTGCACCATGTTATTGTGGCAGAAATGTGAGAGATGCATGTGGAATGTTATTAGATTATTCATGTAGACGAGTATTAAAGGGATTTGTGAAATGTTGACCTGTTTGGCAAGTGTTCGTCATGTTCTGAAAAAAAAAGGAAAGAAGGAAAAGAGTCGTTTAAAACCACGATGAACTGTCTGGTCTTTCGGTCCGCAGAAGAAATCTGCCTTTAACCTTGAAAGAGATAAAGATTTGGCATTGATCATGAGAATGATCGGTACCGGCTGATATGAAGAAACGCAGTGTGAAGTGTTTTTGTTGGTGTGGCCCAGCCCTGTGCTGAAGTGTAAGGCTTGGCAGCGTTTCGGGAGAGCTGAAGGTGTGTGTGTTCTTGTGCTCAGTGTGGATCCTGACAGTCCTTTACACAGCGACCTGCAAGTGCTGAAGGAAAAGGAAGGCATGGACTACATCCTCCTCAACTTCTCCTACAAAGTGAGTCCGCTGGCTCTACGGAGCACACAATTCAGCCAAATATATATATTAGTGTCTCTGCCGCACAAAAGCAGTGTTAAGTCGCTGGGGGATATTTGTAGCAATAGCCAACAATACATTGTATGGGTCACAATTATACATTTCTCTTTTATGACAAAAATCATTAGGATATTAAGTAAAGATCATGTTCCATGAAGATCTTTTCTATATTTCCTTCCATAAATATCTCAAAATTTAATGTTTGATTAGTAATATGCATTGCTAAGAACTTAATTTGAACAACTTTAAAGATGATTTTCTCAATATTTAGATTTTTTTGCACCCTCAGATTCCAGATTTTCAAATATTGTGCTCTCCTAACAAACCATACATCAATGCAAAGCTTATTTATTCAAAGAAATTGACACTTAAGACTGGTTTTGTGGTCCAGGGTCACACACACACACACACACACACACACACACACACACACACACACACACACATATACAGTGGGCACAGAGGGTACTCACGCACCTTTACTT